TTTTTTTTTTTTTTGTATTTTTAGTGGAGGTGAGGTTTCACTGCATTAGCCAGGATGGTCTTGATCTCCTGACTTTGTGATCTGCCCACCTTGGCCTCCCAAAGTGAGTAATTATTTTATAAATTTGGGAACTCCACTATTAGGTGCATATATATTTAGGATTGTGCTAGTATCCTGTTGGACTAGTCCTTTTATCATTATATGATGTCGCTCTTTGTCTTTTTTAACTGTTGTTGCTTTAAAGTCTGCTTTGTATGATGTAAGAATACCTACTCCTGCTCACTTTTGGTGTCCATTTGCGTGGAATATCTTTTTTCACCCCTTTGTCTTAAGTTTATGTGAGTCCTCATGTGTTAGGTGAGTCTCTTGAAGATAGCAGGTATGTGCCTGGTAAATTCCTATCCATTCTGCCATTCTGTATCTTTTAAGTGAAGAATTTAGGCCATTTACATTCAACATTAGTATTGAGATGTGAGATACTATTCTATTCATCATGCTAATTGTTGCCTGAATACCTAATTTTTTTCATTGTGTTATTTTTTAATAGGCCCTGTGATATTTATGCTTTAGGGGGTTCTATTTTGGTATATTTTGATGTATTGTTTTAAGATTTATAACTCCTTTTAGTAGTTCTTGTAGTACTGGCTTAGTAGTGTTGAATTCTGTCAGCATTTGTTTGTCTGAAAAAGACTTTAACTTTCCTTTGTTTATGAAGCTTAGTTTCTTGGATACAAAAATTCTTGGCTGATAATCATTTTGCTTAAGGAGGCTAAAGATAGGATCCCAATCCCTTCTAGTTTGTAGGGTTTCTGCTGAGAAATCTGCTGTTAATCTGATAAGTTTTCCTTTGTAGTTTAGCTGATGTTTTTGCCTCATAGATTCTTTCCTTCATCTTGACTTTAGATAATTTGATGACTCTTTGCCTGAGTGATTATCCTTTTGTGATGAATTTTCCAAATGTTCTTTGAGCTTCTTGTATTTGGATGTCTAAATCTCTAGAAAGGCCAGCAACGTTTTATTTGATTATTCCCTCAAATATGTTTTCCAAACTTTTAGATTTCTTGCTGAGGAACACCAATTATTCTTAGGTTTGGTCATTTATCATAATCCTAAACTTCGTGGAGGCTTTGTTCATTTTTTCAAAAGTTCTTTTTTCTTTGTTGGATTGGGTTGAGAGCCTTGTCTTTGAGTCCTGTAGTTCATCTTCTACTTGTTCTAGTCTATTGTTGAAACTTTCCAGTGTATTTTGTATTTCTCTAAGTATGTCTTTCACTTCCAGAAGTTGTGACTGATTTTTATTTACAATATCTATTTCTCTGGAGACTTTTCATCCGTATCCTGTATTATTATTTTAATTCCTTTAAGTTGGTTTACACCTTTGTCTGGTGCCTCCTTGAGTAGCTTAGTAATTGACCTTCTGAATTCTTTTTCTGGCAATTCAGAGATTTCTTCTTGGTTTGGATCCATTGTTGGTGAGCTAACATGATCTTTTGGGCATGTTATAGAACCTTGTTTTGACATTATCAGAATTGTTTTTCTGGTTCCTTCTCATTTGGGTAGACTATGTTAGAGGAAATATCTGAAACTAAAGCGCTGCTGTTCAGATTCTCTTGTCCCACAGGGTGATCCCTTGATCTGGTGCTCTCCCCCTTCTCCTATGGATAGGGCTTCCTGAGTGCCAAACTACTGTGATTGTTATTGCTCTTCTGTTATTGTTATTGTTATTGCTCTTCTGAGTCTAGCCAACCAGAAGAGCTACTGGGCTCTGGGCTGGTACTGGGGAGTATCTGCAAAGGGTCCTGTGATGTGATCTGTCTTCAGTTCTCCCAATCATGGGTACCAGCACCTGCTCCAGTGGAGGCAGCAGGGGAGTGAAGTGGATTCTGTAAGAGTCCTTGGTTGTAGTTTTGTTTAGTACGCTGGTTTTCTCAAAGGCTGGTTATGCTAGCAGTGAAGTTGCTACTTGGACAGACTCAGGACCTCTGGTTACCCAGGATGTTACAGGCAGTATAATTAGCTGTTGTTTTCTCCTTCCTGGAGCAAGGTGGTTCTGTTATGAGTGGCTGTAATGACTTGAGTTGGCTGGCCTTCAGCCAGGAGGTGGCACTTTCAAGAGACCATCAGCTGCAAGTAATATGAGGGGGATACAAGCTTGACCTAGGTTCACTAGATAAGTATTCGGGTTTCTCAGGTGATGAGTGAGATCATAGAGCTCCCATGAGTCCATGTCTTTTGTCTTCAGCTACAGGGGCAGGTAGAGAAAGACCATCAGCTGGGGGCAGGGTTAGGTGTGTCTGATCTCAGATTCTCAGACAGGGCTTGCTGCGGCCATTGTGGGGGATGAGGTGGGTGGCTTGCAGGCTAATGGAGTTATATTCCAGAGGGGATTATGACTGCCTCTGCTGCTTCATACAGTTCACCAGATAAGTGAGGGAAGCCGGCAGTGACAGGCTTCACTCAGCACCCAGGCAGCCAGCAAGGCCAGTCTCATGCCCGCTATGGTGCCCAACAGCCAAGAGAGCCAAATTTATATCCAAGCCTCCTTTGCCTGGAGCTAAGATCTTGCCCCAGCAACAAGCATCCCCACTGAGAAAGCAAGCAGGGCTTTCAGGTCTCACCCCTCCCTGCCTGCCATGGCTTCTGTGTTTATATCTGTACTTCAGGTTCACACCCCCAGATTCTGACCAGGAAAATTTGTGCTTGGTCAAAATTGTCACAAAGTTCAGCTGGAAGCCTCCTTCTCCCCATGGCTCTCCCCAAATTGTACTGGCTGCTCTCCGCAAGGACTCCTGTGAGATAAAGTCAGAAATGGCTTCCCTGGGGACCGAAGTGCCTATAGGGGTCCTTGGGGAAGGCACCTCTTCCTTCTGCTTATTCTGCTTTTACATTTCACTCAGCTCTCCAAATTCATTTCAGCTCTAGGTTAGGTGAAATCCTTCTCCCGTGATCCGGATTTCCAGGTTCCCCAGTGAGGATATGTGTTCAGAGGTGGACTTTTTCCCTCTCACACTTTGAGAACTCACAGTTTTTCGGCTGTCTCACAGAGTTTGCAGTGGCAAGCCACTTCTTTTAAAGGGTGTGTGACTTCCTTCAGTTTTGCTGGTATATTCCTGCAGTGGTTCTTGGAGCAAAAGTTCACAATGTGAGTCTCAACATGCTGTTCTGTCCATCCGAGTAGGAGATGCAAGTTAGTCCTGCCTCCTATCTGCCATTTTGTTCTCCAAACCCATATCTTTTCAAGAAGAGATTTGATTTCTCTGGTTCTTTTGTTGTTGGTCTGGCTGTACATTAGACTCATCACAGGAGAGTATGTAAAATGCTAATGTCCTGAACCCAACACCAGGGATTCTGAATCACTGGGTCAGGGTTGAGGCACAGGCACTGATATTCTTCTTTAGGTGACAGAATAGGCAATTCTATATATCAGAATTGGTACATCTGAGGATCTTAAAAAAAATCCTAATGTTCAAGTCATACATAGTCCAGAATGATTAAATTAGAATTTTCCCAGAAGTGGGATCCAGGAAGCAATATTCTTTTAAAGCTCTTCAAGTGATTCCAGGCTGCAGGACAACACGAGATTCAACCTGAGCAAAGTCTGGTTATGGAGGCATGGGGATATAACAAGTCAATGTTGTTACTGGCCTTGGAAAAATTATTAACAGTGACCATACCTTTGCTGGAACTGTTTCCCTCTTCTCCCCACACATATCTGGCTGTGGGATGTGAAACCTAAACCTCCATGCCTAGTCCATCCAAAATCAACCACACAAACACTGACTTCTAGGGCTGTTTTAACTGTTGAAAAGTCCCTCAGTTGGCCGGATATCAAAATTAGTGTGGATAAGACCTAAATCTTGTTGGAGGATTGCTTTGGAGGTAAAGTGCATATAAAACTACTTGAGCATCCCTCCTCTGTTAAGTATCATGTGTCAGTGCTATTGCATGATATTCTATGTGAGTGCTGTCCCCCAGAGTTGTGCAAGAAGGTGACCCTGCCTAAAACAGACATCTCATTGCAATGAAAAGAATCAAACCATGATTTCATTTAGAGAAGGGACTCATCCATGATTTTGGCAGAACCCAAAACAGGCAGTCATATCGCAAGCAGAGAATGGATGGGGCCATGGAATCAGAAGGGTTACTTAGTACTGAGCACCAGATAAGCAGTTGACTTAAAATGCCTCAGGATTTGCTAGGTCATGCTGGTTTCAGTCCTAACCAGCTCAGCATGCTAATGGCTTACCTGAGACCACCCATAGGAGCTCTGTAAAGGACCACTCACCCTGTATGTACTCCTTTACAGGGCTAATGGCAGGATCCACACCTTGAACATAATAGCCCAACCTGGCCTGTTCCTTCTGGCTGATGCTTATGACCATCTTCAGCTCTACCTGCAACTTGGAGTACATTCTGGGGACTTTCCCTTTCACCCACACCCCTTACTTGAAAATGCTATTATCCTTTCACATTTGCTCCTTCCCCTTACTCACCAGGCCAGCCCTACTCATTACCACTTCAAGCTCTGTCTCAAGAGACCTCAGTGGTATAGAGCTCAGCCTCCTACACTCACTTTCCAGGGGAAATAAATAAGGACATTGGAAGGTTTCTACTGAAACAGATGGAAAGGGTGCTTTCACACTGAGACATCCAAGGCCCAGGCACATCTACCTGGCTTGGGTGATGCATCTGGCATTCTTTGGTCATCACACACAGCAACATACTCCAACTGAGACTGAACATGCTTCAGGGAACAGCAGTCATGACACAGAACATATCCCTGGAGAAAGGAGTGGAATATTCTGGGGGTCATAGTTCAGAATTTATACTTACACAAGGGTCAACTGAAGTATTGTTGTAAGACTTCAGTATTCTCTGTTGAAAAAAACAGAAAGATTGATTTACAATATTGAATGTAATGTTTCCATCTATCATTTGTTTAAATTTAAATAGTCATCTTTGAAGGGATTCAGGAACCAGTTGTAAAAAAATAATTGGGATGAGAAGAAGACCTGCAGACTGGGATGGCTCCAGTGGTTTAAGTTCCTAAGTAAGCAAACTGAAACCTGATATAAACGATAAAATGAAACTAGAGACTTTACCAACTAGAATCTGCCATCTAACCTCTAATTATCATCTTTCCATGATAAGCCAGTAAATTTAGTTTTCCTGACTTACTCCTTTGGTGGCCTCACTGTCTGGGCTGCTGCAGCAGAGTTCTCTGAACCTCTCCTTGTTCTGAGTGCTGCCCAATTCATGAATCGCTCTTTGCTCAAATAAATGCTATAAATTTTATTTTTTCTAAAGTTTTATTTTTTTAAACAGCCTTCCCTTTACCTCATATCTGATTTGCCTATATATCTACTGAGAGAATAAAAAGTGCCCAAGTACTACTGTTCAGCCCAGTGCAAGTCCCATTCCCTGTAGGGAGTCTGGACCTAGTTTGCACAGGCCAATTCAGAGAAACTACTTGTCCTCTTACTCCAAGGGGCCCTCAGGCATATTTCCTAAACTTGGCCTTTGTATCATCCCACCGAGAAGAGTTGCAATAATAATCAGGCTGAGGACTTATCCCCCACAGCCTCCTGGGATCACAGGGCCCAGAGACCTGGAGGCTATGCAGTGTCCCAGAGAAGAAGAACACTGCTTTTTGCAGCTCCCCTAGGGACACAGCCCTGGTGATAAAATGCCTCCAAGGTCCTCTGTGCTGTAGCTCTTTTTCCTGAAAGTCTCCCACTCTCCCTTCTATCCAAATCACAAAAAGATGTCAGGTTGACTGACTTTTCAGAGGTAACCCACTATATTTATTTAGATGGCTTTTGGATATCCATTGCATGACTTGGCATCCTTCCCTTCTGGGATACAGGCAGCTTTAGCTTCTGTCTGTAGCCCAGGGACCAGAGGCCATAAACAAGTGTGATTCAAAGGACAAGCACTTGAGAGGTGACCTTGTCACTGAATGCCTCTCTGACTGGCCTAGAATCTCCAACCCAACCCAGTTGTAATTCATCCATGTTGACAATAAATTTAAAACTTTTTTTTTTGAGACAGAGTCTCACTCTGTCACCTAGGCTGGAGTGCTATTATGAAATCACAGCTCACTACAGCTTTGAAAACCTCCCAGGCTCAAGTGATCTTCCCACCTCAGTCTCCTGTGTAGGTGGGACCACAGGTGTGCACCATAATGCCGGGGTAATTTTTTTGTTTTTCTTTTATTGGTAGAGATGGTATCTCACTATGTTGTTCATGTTGGTCTCAAATTCCTGGGCTTAAATGATATTCCCATCTCAGCCTCTCAAAACGCTGGCATTATAGGCTTAAGTGACCATGCTTGGCTGAAATAATTTTTGAGTTCAATCTTCTGTAATGGTCATTGGCATTTCATAGGTACTTGATAATCATATGTTGAATGAGTGAATAAATGAATATTTTTTCACTTAGAAATTACTGGAGGCCCTCAAGCAAACATTAGCATACAATGATTATTCTGGGTGAGTGTATCAGATTGTTTTACAATACCTCAGCTGGACCAAAAGGTTTATGTGGCCCTTGTCATGAGCTAAGATGCCATCATGTGGCACTGGTAGTGACACTGAAATTTCCCAAAGCCAAATGGCCCTGCCAGAAGCTCTGAGAGGCACAGAGGACCCATGGAGTTCATAATGGATCGTGGATCTGCCACTTAAGGGGCGTTCTGTTCTCCCCATGAGGAGACACAACATATAGAGGCAACTGCAGCTTGTTGCTGCTAAGTGTTGCACCCCAGAAGAGAGGGAGAGTCGGTTGGTTGGAAATGTCCAGCTCATTTGGGTCATCCAGGCTGAGTTACTCTTGGCACCTGGGGAAAGGTAGAGATGCTAGTGTTTAGTGTACTCACTGAATAGGTACATAATAGTTTCCCTTTGGGAATACTGGCTGAGATTCCCAAAGGGAATTCCCCAAAGGGAATACTGGCTGAGAATTCAAATCAGCCAGTATATCTGATCATATAAACACCTGAATCCCAGGTTCCCAGTGGAATATGAAGCTCAGTGGCTAGCTATGTGTGAGCTGTTTTAGAAATCTGTGAATGTCTTGAATGTGCATTTCTACCTGAAGTGCATAAGGATGATATTTTTCTCTTCCCCCTCCTCAGGTTCTCATTCAAACCCAGTCTTGGAAAAATATCACCTTGTCCTGAATCTACACTGCACTTAATCTATTTGTTTGTTGAGTTCTTCAAGAGAGGGAAAAATCACTTTCACAGATAAAAAGCAGGTCGGCACAGTTCCTCTGGTAGAGCCAAAGAGGTGGCATCAACATAAAAGATTTTCCTGGTCAGCCCCTCCTATAAAATACATTTGCCTCTGGAGATCTTTGTCCTCGGTGGCACCATTGTGGTAACAGGAAATAATTTCATCTTGAGAAGACATTCTGTGTGTCTGTGTGTACATTTTTTTGGAAGGTGAAAGAGAATGTGAAGGATCAGAAAAGAAATATTCTTTTTGTTGCCTATTTCATGAAATGATATATGGTTTCACGTATGTCTCAAATGGATGTGAGCAAACATCTGCTCCATCCTATTTCACTAAAGTTAGAAAATAGTAACTTCAATGAAAAAAATCTGAATTTTGAGTTGAAGATGATCCTCTCACCTTATTATGAAATATTTTATGTATCCCATGACCATGCTTGACTTTCCAACTTTGGAAAGTTGCACCCTTAAAACATCTGCATCTATTGCTAAAACACATCCAGGAGGTCCATTTTGATGGCTCCTTATCATCTTCATATGAAATGATTGATCCAAAGAGGACCTAGCTTTATATACATTTAGCATTGAAAATTAGCAACTCTGAAGGAATACATGCAAAGTGTATTTTAAGGTGGGTAGTGATGAAGGTGAAAGCTTAATTATATTTACCCAATTTCAGACCCCATAAAATAAGATTTTGTGCATGTTAAATCAGTTATGTGACATGAAGCTGTAGAAAGCTATGTAATAATCACCTTTTTTTTCCTGGAATATATTCTTGGAGGATTAGGCAGAAATCCATTCTGAAAGACAAAAAGATTCAGGTATATGGTCAGCCTGTGTTTCTGTTTTGTGAGTCTGGCATTTCCAACCTCCTCCCAAATCTTTCTACCTGAGTGTTCCACTGCCAGCTCAAACCCAGGGTGTCTAATGAGAAACCATCTCCCTCTCTTCACCTGTGCTTCTTCTAGACTTCAATCAATAGAAGCCAGAAAAGCATCTTCAGGACCATTTTCCCTTCTCTTGTGTTTCTTCCCTAAGTTCTAAGAGGTTTTCCTTCACAATCTCATACCACCTATCACCTCTTTTCCAGTCCCACCAGTGCCACTCCAGCTGGAGTCCCTACACCACAGCTATCCAAGCAGCACACACTTATTGGCTGCTACTGAGTATCAGTAACTCTGATCAATCTTGGGCACATGAAGATGGGAAAACCTAAAGGGGTCTACAGACAAAAAGCACTCACAGAATAATAAATATAAAACAGTGAATGAAAGGCCTTAGTAGAAAGGCCTTAATAGAGGGCTCAGGAGCCTTGGGAAGTGATGACCCATGGCCGGGTCAATGAACATTCAGGAAGGGGTCACACTTGAACTGAGCATTCTGAATTGAGTATAGGTTTGCTAGGGGGAAAGCCCCATGGCTGTCTAAAATACTGTTTTACGGCTGGGCGCGGTGGCTGCGCCTGTAATCTCAGCACTTTGGGAGGCCGAGGAGACCTCCCACTGGACACCAGGAATTCGAGATCAGCCTGGCCAACATGGCAAAATCCCATCTCTACTAAAAATATAAAAATTAGCCTGGCATGGTGGTGCACGACTGTAGTTCCAGATACTCGAGAGGCTGAGCCACAAGAATCACTTGAACCTGGGAGGCGGAGGTTGCAGTGAGCCAAGATTGAGCCACTGCACTCCTGCTTGGACAACAGAGTGAGACTGTCTCCTAAAAATAAAATAAAATATTGCTTTAAATGTCATTTCCAATCCTAGAAGATTTCACTGAATCCTTGTTATCTCAATTATAGGTTTAAACTCCTTAGCCTGGCATTAAAGCCCTCCACAAACTGCCCCAATTGTTATAGTATACCTAATTGCTCACAATCTGTGCTACCTAAATCCACAGAGCTACTTTTGCCATGGTTCTGGTTTGCATGGCATTCTGGCTTTTATGCCATTCTTTCTCTGAAGTGTCTTCTTCCACTGCTGGACTATCAACTCCTTTCCTTCTTTCAGTGCACAAAGCTGTCTGCATGCACCCTAGTCAGAATGACCCTTTCCTCCTTCAAGCTGCTGAGCCTATCCTGATGGAGGCCCTGGTACAACATGGATGTGTTGCACTGTAGTGTGGTTACGGATATGGGGTCCCTCTCTCCTGAGTGAGAGGATGAACCCACTGGCATCAAGGCTTTAGCAATAACCTAACAAAGATTTGGTGAATAAACAGTACAGTCTCCTCATTATTAGGGAACAAGAACGGACACAGGTCTGGCCCCTTGTCATTGGAATACCTCTATCAGCCATCGTAGGGGCCACCCGCCACAGCGCACACTCAGCTTCCAGTTCTTCGATCTTGCGTGGCCTCCTTTGATTTCAAATTCCCTGGGGGTGAACCAATTTCCATCCTCACTCTGTATACACTTCACCAAGATTCCTGTAAGACCAGGGTAAGTTGATTCTGAGCCCTCTTTTTTCCCAGCACTCAGACTGTGGCCACTCACCACACTGGATCTAGAGCCACCCAATTTCTGATCAAGATCAATAGCAGGAGGGTCTGGCCTTCCCTCTCAGACTTTAGAGGCCTCAAATCCAGCCTGAAAGTCCCCTCTAAGGATATTTCCTGGCAGGGGTGCACATTTCTTTGACCTTCATCCATGAAGAAAGTCATGGTTGTCAACAAGAGCAACCTTTTAAGCATTTCAAAAGCACTTACAGAAGGAAAAGTAAGTGATTCTGAAAGATCAGAGGATTCCAGTTTTCTATTCAAATTTGGAAGTAGAGACCAGGCCTGAGTCTCCAGATGGCTGTGAGGGCAATGTTGGAGGCAGAATCCTCAACTTGTGGCTACGGTCTCAGATGGGTGCCCTGTGGCTCAGGGGTCACTCCAGCAACATCTGCATTCTCAATTATAACATGTTTTATGCAGTTTAGTGGCATTAGTGAACAGAGATTTTCACACCCCTGCAATCGTGGGTAGCTGATATTAAAAAACTAATTGTGAAATGTTATCCAATAAAAAATTTAATTTATATGTAAAAGATAGTCACATGCTCAATACCATTAGCCATTAAGGAAACACAAAGCAAAACCACAATGAGACACCATGTCACACCCACTAAGATGATAGGATGACTGTAATAAAAAAGACAGACAGACGATAACAAAGTTGGTGAGCATGTAGAGAAATTGGAGCCTTCACACACTGCCAGTAGGAATACAGAATAGTGCAGCCACTGTGAAAAACACTTTGGTGATTCCTCAATGAGTTAAACATAGAAATACCATATGATGCAGTAATTCTTCTCTTGAATATATACCCCAAATAATTGAAATATGTTCACACAAAACTTGTTACACAAATGTTCAGGACAGCATTATTTATAATAGCCAAAGAGTGAAAATAGTTCCAAATGATGAGTTTATAAACAAAATGTGGTATATCTATACAATGAAATATATTATTTGTCAATAAAAGAAATGAAGTACTAATACATTCATTATAGATGAACTTTGAAAATACCACAATCAGTGAACGAAGGCAGTTAGGAAAGGGCATGTATTATAGAATTCCATTTCTAGAAAGGCCTACAATAGGCAAACTTATAGAGCAGAAAATAGATTAGTGGCTGCTTAGGTGGGAATGGGCATTGACTGCTAATTGACATGGGCTTTTTTTTTTAGTGTGGAACAAATTGTTCTACAATTAGACGATAATGATAGCTGTACAATTCTGTGAATATACAAAAAAATAGTTGATTTGTACACTCTAAGTGGTGAGTTGTATGATATGTGAACTGCATCTCAGTAAAGCTGTTTAGAAATAGTCACAATGCAATAGACATTTTTGGGCAAAGTTTTATAATTTACAGTAAAAACATGTAAATTTACATATTTTACATCAATATGTAAATTAATTCTCACAGCTACATCATGAGGCAGGTTTCTTATTATTGTTCCCTCTCTTGGATGAGAAATTTCAGGTTCAGAAAGGTTCCCTTCTCTATTCAGAATGGAACAGTCACTCCTGGCACAGCCAAGGCTGGAACTCAGGCTTCGTGATCCCAAATTCTGTGATCATCTTCCTATATCAAGCACCTTGCCCTGGTGATGGCACTCCAGAACGGAGAGAGAATATGAAAGTTGAGGTTGAAGGCCTCTTCATTTTTCTGTCTGATTCAAAGTAAAATACGTGACATTTTCCATCTGTGAACTGACGTTCCTGCACTTCTCTTTGGTTCTTTGGGCAACCCCTGAACACTCCATGTGCAAGTCAGCATCTAATGGGCGTGATTTCTTAAAGTCTGAAAACATCATCTTAGAAATCCTTCCTCCTTCCCTCAAACCAAACTGGGGCCAAACTCCTTGAATGATGTGTAATTCACATGATAATTCCCCACTACTTGTGATGCCTTCAGATAGGAGCTGCAATTTAAAGAAGACCATGAAACCCACCTTGTTTCAATTTCTTCTTATGTAAAATTCCCTTCACCCCACCACAGGTCACCGGAAGCAAAGGAGCCTTAAAATCCACAGTTTCATCTTTGTACTTTCTTGAAGCTGAAAGAGAGGATTTCTTCATTCTGTTTCACTTTGCAAAGGCACATCCCCCCTCCCTCCCTACTGAGGTAATTCCTAGAAAGACACAAGGGATACTTAGGAAATTCTATTCCAAAAACCTCTAGAGTTTCAAAGTCTTTCTTCCAAGTGGCATTTTTGATGCATAATTACAGAATGTCTACCCCAATTTCACCTTTCAAATTTCATACAAAATAGAATACTTTAGCAGAGAACTTAGACTTCAGTAAAACTGGTTTAACTCCTAATCTAGTAAGCTCCACTGATTCTTATATGACAATGAAACGCAGTTGCTGTCACTGTTCTGACAGGAGCTCTCCAGCTATGCTGCTTTGCTGCAGGTAGGTAGCCTTAGATGAAGCCAGAGATCATATTCAATCTCCCAATTTGAGCACTGACGGGGCAAGCAGGGACAGGGTAATGATAGGATAACCTAATGGAGATGATGTCTGCCTTCTATTTTTGTTCTCTGCTTTAGTTCATTTCTCCATCCTGTCAGCTTTCCTTGTAGCTGAGAGAAGAGCTCAGGGAGCTCTAGAATAATCTGAAAATTATATGGGGTGGCAGGTGGGGGACTGGAGACCTGATTTCACAGAGAAGGGGGTGTAAGGTCTTCAAAGGAACTCCAGGAGGGTGAGCAGTGAATCCTTCCCTTCCAACCAAAGGTGTAGGGCCAGGCATGGTGGCTCACACCTGTAATCTCAGCACTTTGGGAGGGCGAGGCAGGCGGATCACTTGATGTCAGGAGTTCAAGACCAGCCTGGCCAACATGGCAAAACTCTGTCTCTACTAAAAATACAAAAATTAGCCAGGTATGGTGGTGCCCACCTGTAATCCCAGCTACTTGGGAGGCTAAGTCAGGAGAATTGCTTGAACCTGGGAGGTGGAGTCTGTGGTGAGATCACACCATTGCACTCATGCAATGTATGGGCTCATGTATGGGCAACAGAAGTCATGATAAACAGGGGAGCTGTCCTTCGTCCTGAGACAAATTTTTAGAAAGGCAGACTATTAGGACTGGGATGGACTAATAAGAAAGATGGTTGGCCTACCTACAGAATGGAAGAAAATTTTTGCAATCTATCTCTCTGACAAAGGGCTAATATCCAGAATCTACAAGAAATTTAAAACAAATTTACAAGAAAAAAACAACCCCATCAAAAAGTGGGCAAAGGATACGAACAGACACTTCTTAAAAGAAGACATTTCTCCAGCCAACAAACACGAATAAAAGCTCATCATCGCTGGTCATTAGAGAAATGCAAATCAAAACTACAGTGAGATACCATCTCAAGCCAGTTAGAATGGCAATGTTTAAAAACTTGGGAAACAACAGATGCTGAAGAGGATATGGAGAAATAGGTACGCTTTAACAATGTTGGTTGGAGCGTAAATTAGTTCAACCATTATGGAAGACAGTGTGGCGATTCCTCAAGGATCTAGAACCAGAAATACCATTTGACCCAGCAATCCCATTACTGGTTATACCCAAAGGATTATAAATTATTCTACTATAAAGACACACACACATGTGTGTGTTTATTGCAGCAGTGTTCACAATAGCAAAGACTAGGAACCAACCCAAATGTCCATCAATGATAGACTGGATAAAGAAAATGTGGCACATATATACCATGAAACACTATGTAGTCATAAAGAAGAATGAGTTCATGTCCTTTACAGGGACATGGATGAAGCTGGAAATCATCATTCTCAGCAAACTAACACACGAACAGAAAACCAAACATCATATACTCTCACTCATAAGTGGGAGTTGAACAATGAGGGCACATGGACACAGGAACATCACACACCAGGGCCTCTCGGGAGTTGGGGGCTAGGGAAAGGACAGCATAAGGAGAAATACCTAATGTAGATGATGGGTTGATGGGTGCAGCAAACCACTATGACACATGTATACATATGTAACAAACCTGTACATTCTACACAGGTATCCCAGAACTTAAAGTATAAAAAAAGAAAAAGAAAGAAAGATGGTTGGCCTAATTCATGCTCTTGCTTTCCAGATGAGAAAACTGAGACAAAGAAACTCAAGTGATCAGCCTAAGCCCACACAAAGAAAAAGAAAGTCTTAGGACACAGATCTCTAATCACAACTCTGTTTCACCCTTAGTGTACAACCTGTGGCTTTCTGTGTAGCCAGAGGAAGGTCAGCTAAATAATAAATATGGGTCGTGCCCTTTATATGGCAATGAACTATCTCCAGACTTGAAATTTATTTCAGCGAAAGTAGCACTTTAGTGGCGCCTGAGCCCCCGGGGTCTGATTGTAGATCAATCACCAACTTACTTCCTTCTTTCCTTGACACATTTTGGAAAATGACTAAATAGGATAAATTTCTCACTAGTTAGTACAGCTTCATAAAACAATTAAGGAAATGGGTTTATTACTGAAAGTACAGTGTACTGCACAGGAAATTAGATGTTTAGTTATTGAAAGTACATTCCTCTTTTCTTTTTTACCTCTTGATCGGACTCTTTTCTGTGGAGCTCTGTCACTCTGAGTGAAGTGGGTTCTAGGTTTGCTTCTCTTTCTCCCTGAGAAAGTAGAATAATATAATCACAGTCATTTATGAGTATCTGTATTACACATATTACAGCTTTTCAAAAATTCCATTTAAATGTAACTTTCCAAAAGCCTGTTTAATGTATAAATAAAAAGATTTAAACCCTAGCCTTTAAGGTATGAAGAATCAGATAGCTAATATTAGGGTCACTTTATATTTCATTTTCCTATTCTTATATTAGGAAAAAGACTAATTGAAAGCAGTATTTCACATATATCTCAAGCAAAAGTACAAATGCTTCATTCCATATTTTGAAGGTTGATTTCATATTTCATTTCAAATATATATATTTGAAATATATATGGCATATAATACATGTTAAACACTTACACGTCCGCTAATTTATTTAATCTTTGCAAGATCAAAATGATAATTACTGTCATTACAGAGACTAAAATATTCAGAGAAAATTGAGACAAAACTACAAAATTAAGTGAAGGCATTTGGGTTTCTCTTAGCAGAGACAAAAATAAATGACAGTTCTGTAAGTTAAGGGAAATCCTATTAGGTGTTCCATAGGTGAGATGTATGCTGCACATATCACATTGAGGGAAGATATTCGTACCTTTGTGCTGAAAGTAATAGTAAATGTGACCAGGGCTTTGTCCACATGACTTTGGAAAAAAGAAATATTGGGATTTAAGAAACTAATCAGAAGAAAATTAATCATGAGGAATGGGTAGAATTGAGACTTCCACAGCCTCCATTCCAAATGATAATTAAGGATTGACATGGCAGACGCTGCGGCCGACGAGGTTCTCCCGTGTGCACGTTAATTGGCTGTGGGTGGACATCTCAAGGTTTACTATCGTTCAAATGTGTTTCATTTTCCGAGGCAGGAAAGCAAAATGTTCCTTCCTTCTTGTGTTGGATGTCCACCATCCAATGACCACCATCTGGGGGTGCTGGTCAGGGTCATGTAGGCCCATGAGGAAATATTATCCAGCCTACTCATTCCTAAGTACTATAAATTCTAACCATATCATGAGCATATTAGGCCACCAAAGTAAAAAGGAGCAACCAGACCCAAAGTGGACCTATGGCTTGGAAATGAGAGTTTCATAGGCAAAATTGAGGAAGTCCCAAGCAAGTAGGTTGAGTTGAGCACCCACATCCTAGGACAATGCATTAGTCCATGTATGCAACCATAGAAAGAGTTAGTGGAACTGATGATGCCAGGTTCAGCCTTTCACTCGCATCCAGGTTGTAGAAGTAAAGCTCTATTTTCAAAATAAGTCAAGCTGTGGTGCATGACCCCTCCCCTTCCCTTGCAGGGCAGTTGATGAAAGCATGTCATGGAAGAAAGAGCTAGTGATTGTGCATCAACCACTTGTAATGTCATTTCACGGCTGCACCTGTCAGGCAAGACACCTCCACACTCTGATCTCACCCCTCTCTCTCACCTCCCGAAATCCTGGATGGGACCAAGCCAACAGCTGTGGAGTAGGGGTAGGGCCAAGAGAGAATAAGAGAAGACACTGACCATGTCACCCCCAACTATATGTGTTCCAGACTAAGGCTTGCCCAGGCTGAAGGAGGGAAGGTGCTTTATTGTTTTTGTTTTTGTTTTTTGTTTTTTTTTTTTT